TACTTATGCAGATTAGAAAAATACAATCATTTTTTGAAGGTTAGAAATCCTTAACACAATTCAGCCCTTTCTACCTCCTCAGGCTTTAACCTTTCTGTTCCCTAAACAGCAGCACTATCCAGTTTTAACCAGCAGGACTCTTCGGTCCTCTGTCTTGTACGTGATGAAGTGCAGGAGAAGGACAGTCCGACCACGCAGAAGAGCAATTAATGGAGGAGAAAGCAAGGGCTGCGTGGATAGTCATGAAATATGCAGCAGAAATCCATCACAGAACAAGAAGCCATTAAGGCCTTCTGATGGCCTGAAAAATTCATAAGACCAAAACAAAACGGTTCCTTTTTTAACAGCAAAATGGGAAAACACAAAAAAGGAATAGGGGTGCTGACATGTGGAGATTTAGGACTGATATGGTCAGAGGAAAAGGAGCAGAAGATGAAGAAGAGAAGAAGAAGAAGGAGAAGAAGGAGAAGAAGGAGAATGAGCATGGCAAATCTGGCCCTAAATTAGAAGCCATAACTTTTCCCAGCGGTGTAATCTGATGTGCTCTTACTGAGCAGCCTTGCTGCTGCTTCTCCTTCAGACATATTACTGATCAACGCTACTGGACTCTAAACATGCTGAAGTCTATCAGCGCCATCAGATACAGTACAGAGCAGATTTACTAAGATATGTGCTAATTACAGACAGTCTGCCGACACTTCGTGCTGGTGGGGGCCGTCAATTTAGCGTGTTATCTACTGAGAACTTCTATGCAAATGAACACAGACACAACGTCGTAATTAACATTTGACAAGCGCAGTACAGCCAAGTGTTTGGCTTGGGTGTTTCTTGTGTGAAAGCCAAGGTAAGGTTTCCACCAGGACTGTGACTATTTAGGTAGAAATAATTCCAAATATTTTGACTTAGAAAATTAAAATTATGACAAACTTGAAAAATGAAAAACATTACTGGTCAAAAAAGTAGATTTGTTTCAACATAGTAAATAATAATTTTGAAAAATTGGGACATTATTTTGACATAATACATCTTAAATTTGAGAAAATAATTTATTATTTTGACTTTCTCTTTTAATAGATGTTCTTTTTCAATAGACAGATTGAGCTGAACTTGAGATCTCAACTGCATTTGTAAACTGTGTGAAACTGTAAAATCCACGTTTAATTTCACTGAGGACCCTTTAGTTTAGGAATTGTATATTAGTGTTTAGCTAAATAAGAAAACCAGCCAAAAACGTTGGCCAAAAAAAAAGCAAAATATTAAAAAGGTCTTCACTGAAGTGTAAAAACACTTAAAAGTTAATCTGAATATGAGAAACTTGGCTCTCCTACACAGACACGTTCAAACAGTCTGAGCAGCAGCAGATCAACAGTGGAACACTGACATGGTCCTCTACAGCTGCACTCAGTACAGGCTTTAACTAACATTCTTTTGAACACTAAGATCTTAAGGGAAATCAAATAAATAATACTGAGTAACTCAATATATTTTGATAATAAACTTCCTGTTTTATTCGTTGTTACTGTAAACATGTCAGTTTGTTAGATAGAGCCATTCAGACTGCTGGGAGTTCCAACGCCGCGTCCACATGCTTTACATAATAAAACATGGTGTTTCCGTTGTTATAGCAGATGCACTCTGGAATTCAGCTTTAGAAGCCTTTGGAAAACTACGAGGCATTATTTTTCATAATTTTACATCTTTTAATATTTAATATTATTTAGCATGTTTAAAATTGAATTAGTTCTCCTTAGTTCCAAAATGTGTTTATCACCTTTGAAGCATAGTCAGCATTAATTCAAAAGCATATAAAACTGCAAATTATAAATAAAAGAACCCTTCTTTCAGTTTCGAGAGGGTGTCTTAAATCTTAGTTTTGACATTTTGTGTTTTGAGAATCAAGAATTTTCATATCACAGGTTTGTAGACACTGTTTATCCAACGTTTCTTCTGAAATCAGGGTATTAATAGTGGTTTACCGTCATTTTCTGCAGTAACAGCTGCACTTCTGGGAAGGGTTTATACTAGATGTTGCAACAATGTTGTGAGGGTTTGATTGCAATCAGTCACACTGAGCAGAATTAGTAAGGTCAGGCACTGAAGCAGTATGCTTGGCTTTAGGAATGGTGACCGTAGGCTCATAGGCTCTGAGCGTCCTGCTCTATCAGCATTGCTTATCTAACTTGAAGGGGTATCTGAACACTTTCAGACATATAGTATAAGATTTTCTTGTTTCTTGGTCTCAGTGCGCTGTTTAGTCTGATGATCTGTTGGAAAATGACAGTAGGCACATTTACATGCAGCCTAACAATCCGTTAATAATCCAAAAAATAACTCAGTAAGAATAGACTAGTCCAATTGGCTATGATCAGACTGACAGCCCAAATCAAATTATTGGCATATCCACATTGATTTTTGATACACATGCAATTTTTGCAAATCAGATCCAAACCACATCTGCAGGTGGTATGAAATGTGATTCCAATCATATTTTTACAGATGCGTCTCAGTCTGGATGCTCTGGCTGCTCAAAACAGATTTCAAAGTGTCTTTTGCGTCACTTACAACACGACAAACAACGACAATGTCAAATCCAGAGTGACGGAAGTGCTGGGATTCAGAAAGAGCACCAAAGATTCATGCTTTTCCCAGAAAATTCTGAAGAGTTTGGAGGGTGAGATGATGCACCTTTGCATCACCAGAATAGCTACGTGGTCACTGATTGATGGGTTGGTGACACGCAAATTCGGTCTGATCCCCGGCAAATAACAGTGGACAGTCGTCTCAAAAGATCTGATTTGAGAAACAAATCCAATTTGCCCACAGTCTGAACACAGCCACTGAAGCCATTCTGAATACAATATCTGTCCGAGGTGTGTAATCCTGTAAATAATCAATTAAATAGAAGAATAGTAACCATGTAAACACCCGTATCTGATTACGTTCCCAATCGGAAAGTTTAAGCATGTACTGTGGATGTGTAATTGACAGAAGTTTATAATGTTCAACATGGCGGGAGCCAGAAACTGGCCTGCAAAGGAGACCAAGTTTACGCTTCAAACTTTAAAAGACTTAAGCAGGACGGCCATAAAGCCAGCAATAAGAAGCTGGCCAGAGAATAATATGAGCAGAAGAAAACAGTGGGTTTACACCAACTATGTCTCACAATGTTTCAGGACATGAAGTCTTCCTCTCGCCCCTTCTTTAATACGTACATGTGAAGGATGTTTTCCTGAGTCTGACAACATTTTAAAGCAATTAATAACACAAGCGGTCCAGCTGAAAGCTCAGGTAACACGCTGCTGCTCATCTCACTCTGACTGGCCTCACGTGATGCTCATCGTCATAGTAACGTCTACACTGAATGGTACTCTACACATGCGTGCACATTTGGATCGGATTACTTGTAGTGTGCATGTAAACAGAGATGTGCCTCAGATTACTGAGTAAGAAGCATATAAACACCTCGATTTTAATCTGTTATCGGAATGAATTCAATCGTATAGCATGTAAACACAGCCATTTCCTTAAGACTCTGCTGTGGCTTTCCCAGAAACCCTTCCACGGGTCTATTCGTTCGTCCTAACAGGAAGATGCGAGGCCTCAGGGGCTGATGATGAAGCAAAAAGAAGATGAAAACCGCCTGCTAAAGAAGTGGCTACATACATGTATATGTTGTACTACTGTGAACTTGTCGCTAAACTACCACACCTGGTGTCAATTTGAAGTAAAAAGGCTTTGTAAAGCCACCTAAACCTCTGTTTTTTAAATGATAATCATCTTCATCTTACTCTAAGTCAACGAAGAACAGGCCTATTATATACAGCCTTAACAGCTGCCAGGAAACCCATTCTCAAATCATGCTTTGAGCCAGCGGGCCTAGTTCAAAGAATGAAAAAACACAGTGTTATTAGAGCGTTTACAATATGACAAATAGAAATGAGCTGATGCTACAAATCAGCATAAGCTGGGATAAAACTGTGTTTCACTCACTGGCTGTAGTTTATTTGCCTCAAATGCCTGTTTAGGCCTCATAACCCTTTAACCACCCTTGTCATATATTCAAGACCTGGATCTAGTTGAACATTTCCCCATATCTGCATTTCACAAAGTTTTACTTTGTAAACTTGACACTTTTTGTAAGCTATATTGCTTCTTTTTCACCTATTTATATCATTAGATCCCCCACCACTTACAGCAGGCCCTGGCAACGTACATAGTTTTGTGATATTTGCTGTCTGATGCAGATAAAATGAATAAAAACTATTGATCACAGGGAAGAAATGCGGGATGTGATGCTGAAATGAGCAGATGGTGTGTACAGCTGCGATAAAAATCAGACTCCAGAGTAATGCAATAAAGTGATGTGAAGTCTTCCAGCACTGGTAAACAGGCTGAGATCAGACCCGCCTAAACTCATGCTGGAGAGTTAGAGAGGATGAGGGAGGCGCACCATCACTTAGTGCTGGAAAAGGAGGCTTCTTCGTCAATAATCCCACAAAAACAGGCAAATAATATATTAAATATATATGTTTTCAATTGTTTTGCAAGCTCTGTTTATGTACACGAGATGTTGACTGGATATAATATCGAAATAAGCAGCTTGGTATGAGACTTTCCTCAGGCGCCACAATGTAACTGCTGCACCATTTAAGGTGGAACGGGAAATTCGAATAAGAAACCTGCAAAGATGAAGCGAACTTCCGCTTCTCCAGTTTGCTGGGTGGTCTCCTCTCCACCACAAGACCCTGCTGAAGTAACCCCACCTTTCTCCTCCATAATCACTCTCAGAAACGCAGAAGCTCTTTTATGCAAGATCCTGGTCATTTTAAGGGGTCTCAAGTAATCGCACAGCTACGTGTCTCATCATCAGTGGATGCAGCCGGTGGAGTCTGTTGCTCTCCTCTCTCACCATGAGGAGCACAGACGCATGCGGGGCTCGTCGTTACGGGCGGAAAGAGGAGCATGGCGATGGAGCAAGGTCGCCGCGTCGGCTCACTTACCTGGATGCTGCAGGAGATCTCGGAGTCGTCCAGCAGGCGCACCGTGCAGCGGAGCTCGGGGCCGAGCGAGGAGACGCTGGGGCTCCGGAGGCGAAGCATCTTCATTTTCATGGCTCCATCGTTCGGACGAGACTACGGCGAAGCGTTCGTCGCTCGGAGGAGAGAGAGGAGCTGTCGTGTTGCATAGCGTGGAGAGCGATTCCCTCCCCTTTACATCTCCCTCCCCCCTTTTTTCCCCTCCCTCTGCCAACGCAAGCAGCGCTCAGGACTGGAGCGATGATATCGAGTGTAAATGCTACGATTCGATACGGTACGATACTGATTTGCCATTTCAGTGCGATGATTCCCATTTATTATTTTATTTTCTATTATTAATAGCAATATTATTGATAGGGTCAATATCAGATAACATTGTCCATTCTATAAGCTCCACTTACCATATAGTTGCACTTTGTAGTTCTACAGTTACAGGCTGTAGTCCATCTGTTTCTCTGCATACTTTGTTAGCCTTTTTTTTACCCTGTTTTTCAGTGGTTAGGACCCCCACAGAGAGGGTATTATTTGGGTGGCGGATCATTCTCAGCACTGCAGTGACACTGATGTGGTGGTGGTGTGTTAGTGTGTGTTGCACTCTGTCCACTCTATTAGACACTCCTACCGTGTTGGTCCACCTTGTAGATTCAGAGACTCATCTGCTGCTGCACAGTTTGTGTTGGTCATCCTCTAGTCCTTCATCAGTGGTCACAGGAAGCTGCCCACAGGACGCTGTTGGTTGGATGCTTTTGGTTGGTAGACTATTCTCAGTCCAGCAGTGACACTGAAATGTGTCTGATCCACTCCTACCAGCGCAACACACTAACACACCACCACCGCATCAGTGTCAGATCATCAGAAAATGCCACCACCCAAATAATACCTGCTCTGTGGTGGTCCTTTGTGGCCCCTGACCATTGAAGACTGTAACTGTAGAACTACAAAGTGCACCTATATGGTAAGTGCAGCTGATAAAATGGACAGTGTGTGTAGAAACAATGATTGGTGTTTAATAACTTGGAGGAATTGTATCACTTTGTATGGTGACATTTCAATAGTGTCAAAGATCAAATCACTGCTCTCTAAATCAAGACTGTGACGTGGCACAAACCCACACAGGGCAATGTGAACATATCACGAGCAATGTCATGATACCTGACTATCAACAGAAGCCTTCTTGTACAAACACTTCTGCCCAATAGAATGAGTCAGAATCTGTACCACCTGCTGAATGATGCAGGACTACATGCTTAGTTATCTGTGCACCAGGTGGTTTACCTTACTTAGCATTGCCACTGACTAATTACAGATGTCAATGTAAAATATCTTGAAAAGCTCAAGTAAAAAAAATAGTCACCAAAAAAGTGCTAATACACGATTCTGTTTCTGCAAGGCAATCAATCTCAAGTCACCACAGCTCCTCCTGCAGATGGGTTAGAAATTCTTTATCCTTTATCCTCCCTTTTATATCATCCTGCTCTGTCGTGGTCCTGACCGTTGAAGAACAGGGTAAAAGGGATAACAACCTATGCAGAGCAACAGAGGGACTACAGTCTGTCATTGTAGAACAACAAACTGTTAAAATACTTTGTTTTTGTCCTCCAGTAAGTTTACCACCTATAGAACGAGTTTATTACTGACATTTCAGGAGACCATAAACAAGTGGAGAAGAATGGGCTCTCGTTAAATCAGGTTGCAAATAACACCACCACAACTGTCTAAGCATTGGGCCCCATCATCAGGAGATCAAGCTCGATCCCCAGTGATGCTACAGCCATCTGCGGCCAAGACAGCACAACTGGCCTAGCTCTCTCTGGGCAGGTGGGATGGCCCTCCTCCAGCCCCCATCACTTAGCGCAATGCAAGCCAGCACAAGCATCTGTTAGCTGATGTAACAGAAGTGCCATTTAGTGTTCTAGCGCTGACAGTATCAGGTGTTTTGGGGGGGGGGTTCCAACTAGTGGGTAGAATTGGAAATGACTAAACTGGGGAGAAAATTGGGGGAAAATTCTGCCAAAAGATAAAAGTAAAAATATCACCACTCCAAGCAGCAGGCAGGTATACTTTGAAAAAGTAAATTAGTCTCTTTATTAAAAAGAACTCAAAATTACACCCCTTTGCTTTCAGTGTACAGAGCATTAAGTGTGTGGTTGGTTCTGTAGTGGAGCTAACGTGGCACTTTCTCACCAGCAGGAGGCAGCACACTCCAGAGAAGAAGACACATGAAACTTCATTTAGTATTGGTAGAAATTTCCGAATAACACTGAATCGTGTCGTTTTGCATTTTCCCTTTTAATGGGTTTGATTCAGGAGGCAACATGGGTCCAGTTTTCCCCCCAAAGAATCCTGCACATTGACAGCAATCACCCACAGCACAACATGAAGGAACCACGTCAATGCTTTTGGCAGACTAGACTATGGATAATCACATCCCTCCTTTAACCCATCAAGGACTGTGCATGTTCATATAGTCTGGTCTTGATATCATTACTGAGGAGGTGTAAGGAAGCACCTTTGACCTCTCCTGCCTTCTTTTAAGCAAAATACCCCAAAGGAAACAGTAAGCTGTACCAAATTTGGGGAAATACTGAAGCTAGAAATTGTCTGAATATGTGTATGAATTGATCGATGTGTGTTTCAGATTAAACAGATATGAGCAGACTAGATGTACGCAGTTCCAAAAATCAAGACAGCCTGAAAAAGGAATTCCAATGGCTTTTGAAAATACCTGCATAATTTTAATACTTAAGATGTAAACAAAGTCATTTAGAGCAGTTTGAAGTTAAATGCTCGGCTCTATAGAAACTTATCCCGTCCAATGTGTTCATGGTGGTGCTAAAAGGAACCAGCTGTCTGAAACGTAATGCCTCTAAAAACTTCCTCACAGAAAGTTCTTACATGAAATTTCTATAAATATGTTGATTTCTGAGACACTGTTCTAGAAGTGATAAGCTTTCAGACTACATATTTTCAAAAATCCACTAATTAAGAAATACATGCAGTACAATGAAAAACAAAATGGAATTAATTTTTAATTCTTGCACATTTATCACTGTTTTACCATCAACATGACAAACTCAAACACATGTAGGTTCACTGGTGGTTTAGGACAGGAAAAAAAAGGGCTACATTTGTGTTGTAGACATCACAACTAATCAGTCAGTAAATTCCTCTACAATGAAAAATTTCACATCAAACCACTCTGAATGACTTTGCATCTCCATGATTAAATTATGCAAAGATTTAGAAAAATGAATTCGTTTTTAAGGCAGTCTTCAAATGAGCAGCACACAAGGACAATTTCTCCCACAGTCTTCATGAGACAAATAGGACCGTGCAACTGAGGGAAGTCAAAAATGAGACACAGACAGTGTTCCTGGGATTTGCCAGAGTTTCAGAGAAGAAAGTGTGGAGTGTAGGTGCGGGTCAAAGATGACAGCAAAAGCCAGAGGCTGGAGCCCTAAAGCTGTTCATTTATTTCTATACTCTGTCTTCATAAATCACCCTCTGGTCCCTTCTTCCCCTTCCGGTTGGTCTGAAACAGACAGAGGAAAAGCGTTTATTTATTTTATTTTATTATTTATTATTATATATATATATATATATATATATATATATATATATATATATATATATACACACATACACACACACACACACACACACACACACTATATATAAACTTTATATATATAAACTATAAGTTTAAAAACTCTACACATAATGTAAAGGTTCTATACCAACTAAAGGTTTTACACAAAACACAAAGTCCACATATGACGTGTGTGTTTTCATCTACCAAACAGTCAGAATTCACTGTTACATGACCATTTTCAACCTCTCTACATCCCTTAATAAACAGAAATTAAACAGCCTATTTTTGTTACTGTGCATTTTAGACTGATATATGCAAATGAGCTCAGTTCTGAAAGGCTGCCCCATTTTCTTTCTTTTAAAAAAGCAATCCAGGTGGACTAGGTAGGTGGAACTCAACTACTGTAGGCTGAATACATGGATACATGTACATGTGTTACTGTGTCAAAAATGGGCTGTTTTGGCAGCTTATTTGTAATACACTGCCTATATGGACAGTGGACTGGGCGGTAGGTAGTATTTACACACTACATTACATTAATCTTAAATGGGCATTCCAGCTTTAAACCAGTTTCATTTCAGCTTCATTGGTTTGACATTATACATGATTTCATCATTTATCTAGATAGCTACCTTACTAACTTCAGCTTATAGCTTGTTGTCCTCCTCATCTGAATCCATTCTCTCCACTATAATAATGATTTAAAGATATTAAGATGCTTTTTTTTTTGGCTGGAGTATCGTCTTAAATCCAACACTGGTAAACCACCCAATGCTTTATTCATGTGTTCATCCATGGCCGTTTCCCTGTTCTATCTATTCATTTTCCTTTCTTTTCAGGTTTACTCTCTAGTCGTTCTGTAGAACTTTCATACCTTCACTGCCCTGCCACTGCCTGCATGCCTGTTCTAATGAGGAAACAAGAGCATAAGCCAACAGCGAAAATGTAGCCTGGAAAGGCTCCTAAAGTAATCTAGCAGCACAACTAAATGTAAAAGGCAAAACAGACTTAGACTGAAGTGAAGGGTAAATGTTAGCTTCCTGTGCTGCTAACAATACAATTGGCTAACATTAAGGGAGACTTCTTACCTGTTTTGGTTGTTCTGACTGTAAGCCCTTCACCTTCGATCTCTCCTGTTCTAATGATGCATGCAGCAATGTCACCTGAGGAGAAGAAATACCCAGGTTTTACTGCATTACCCATAAGACATTGCTGTTTCAAGGTGTGCACAACAATTTTGCAGTTTCTACATCCAGCCCAATTGGGAGTGGGATCTAAATGTTTTAATGCATATAGCAGAAATTAGTTCTAAGCACAAACATACCTGTGATGTCAGTTCCTCTTTGATGTTCAGAAGCTCATCCACCTGCTGCAGGATTTCTGCTTTGTCCTTCACTGAAGGAGACATTAATTGTATCGTAAATGTGTTAGAAAGTTTTGTCCAAGTCTGCACAAAGGTGTGGTTTAGGTATGGCACAAAGTGAAGTGCCTTAAACCCACTTACCCATAATAAAGTCACTGTTCACGTATGGTGTGCATTGTCTTAAGTGACAATCGCCAACCAGATTTTGGGACAGAAACTATTCACAACAGTTAACAGCTAGCTATAGCTATGCAATATGATTCTGGGAACCCCATGTGTTTTCCCTACTGTAACAGACCTGAAACAGCACATTAGATAATAAGAGTAATCAGTGGTGCTGGATAAAGCAAAATACAAAGGCTACGTTCACATTACAAGCCTCGTTGCTCAAATCCGATCTCTCAGACAGGATGGTTCACACTCATTTAGGTAGGTGATTCAAATCTGTCATTAATGTGAACGAACCTGTCCCCTGAAATCGGATTTGAAAAGATCAGATTTGTGTGTACACCTAGGCCTGAAAACGTTAGATCTGAGTCACATTAGGACCAAAACGGATTTGTGCCACTTCAACCTGGTAATGTGAACATAGCCAAAACGTGTTGTGTGTAAAGTCCCCAGGACTGGGATTGGATATGTTACTGTTTTGTGTACTCACTCTCTCCTTGCTGAAGCATCTTAAGTAACTGGGCATTTCTTGCTTTCACTTCTTTATATCTCTCCTGAGAATGACAAATGAAGAGCAATATAACACATCATTCAAGAATCAGTGTTAAAGGGTCCATACATTTTCCTTTGAGGCCCACTTACGTGCAGTTTTACAAAAATAGTCACAATTCATTCACTATTACATGACCATTTTCTAACCTCTCTTTATGCTAGAATTAAACACAGGCCGTTTCTGTTACTGTTCCCTTGAAGACTGATATGTAAATGAGCTCTGTTCTGATTGAATGTCCTTTATTGTGCTTCATTCCTAAAGCACTCAGAGCTGAAACTCTCCTTATAACTTTAATATAAATGGGTGGGGCTAGGCTGCTGTAAGCTTAATAGGTTGATATTATGTAAATGTGTTTGTTCTCTTGACATAATAGAAACAATGAATTCAAAATGGGCTGTTTTTGCAGCTTAGTGAACAGGTGTAGTGAACAGTACGCTTTGAAACTTTAACAGCATTTACATACTACTTTACTTGGTTTTCCATTATATGGGCCCTTTAAAAAATATTTGTCCATTTCTTTTGCTTTAAATGTGCAGGGTCAGTGATTCAATGTCCCAACCAGAAGGAAAGACCGTGTATACTTTATTGACTTAAAACTTGAAAGTAGAATTTATACATATCTTAATAATATTTTAATTCTCTAACCCCTGTGTAACATTTTATACAGTTGCACAGAGTACAAATCTGTAAAAGGCTGTGGAGATGACTTACCTCCCACTGTGAAATAGTCTTCTTCAACTTTTCAATTTCCTGGTCTTTCTTTTCCAACTCAAACTTTAACTGTTCAGTTCTAACATCCTTTGAGGGAAAGAGAAAGAGAATGTATTGTGTTGAATGCAAGATACTCAATATGTAGCAACATAAATTTCTAAAGTGTTTCAAATCTGAGGGTAAATAGGTCAAGGTCCCTATTGATACCACTCGTCGTGGACAGTGAAGATCACAATAAATAAGAACATGTGGAACTGATTCCAGATCAGCACTTTTAATCAGCTTTTTCTGACTCATTGTGAACCTGGTGCAGGTTTTAAGTGGTGCTTCAGTGAAGTACTGGCCCAGGCTCTCACCTGCTCTTGTTCAGAGGAGGTGTTGACCTCGTGGCCGGCGCTGCTGCTGTACTGCTCTCTGCGCTTGTCTCGCTGCACGATTCGGCTCACATCGTCCTCCAGCTGGTTAAAGAACCTCTCTTCACGGGCCGCTGGGTTCATAAGCTTCGGCTCCTGATGCAGAGAGAGGGGGGCAGAGAACTGACAATATATTTCACTGTACTTTTCACCTATCTACCTCTTTTAGGAAAAAAAAGAAAAAAGAAAAAAACATAACGCTGAAGAACCATTGTAACTTAGTAGCGTAGCCCCACATAAATAACACCATTTTTGGACAGCAGCCCTGTACAATTAATGTGATGAAGGCCAGTGAAGTTGTCAGCATCCGCATGGCTGTCAACCAAATCTTTAATCAGAGTTCATTACTCTTTAGCTTGCTTGAATCCACTTCAAAGCTTTGCATACATAAATTCCAACAAATGCAAAATTCTACTGTTTGCTAACCATTAGATGATGCGAGTTTCAACTGCAGAGACTTGCAGGTCACCAATCAAATATTTGAGTATGACAGGAAATCCTTCACATGTCGTAATTACCCAGATACTCACCTCTCTCTCTTGCCTTTTACTCAGTGGATCTGGAATAGAAAGGCTCAGTTAGCATTTCTCTCCTTCATATACATACACAAAAGCACATACAAAACAGATTCTCACCCATGCTTCCCTCCTGCTGAAAGTCTTTCAGGGACACTGTGCGTTTGTCTTTTCCCTGCTGGCTCTTCTTCTTTTCTTTCTTCCCTCCTCCTTTGGACTTTGGTGATGGTGTCTCCATACTTGCAGCTTCCTACAGAGACAACAAGAACCACATTGCTACCTGAGTAAAGACATAAAGCTAATTTCTTACACAATGCTCATTTCATTGAAAATGAAGGACTAGCTTACAAAAAAGTGCATTTTATGCAGACAGAACTGCACAGATTTTACCTTTTTCTGCTCCTCAAACTCTAGTTTACTCAGCATTAAGGCCTTTTCCAGGTCTGCCTCGTACAAGTCGCTGGTCAACTACAATACCAAATATGAACGACAAGCAAATACAAAGAGGAGAGAATTAGTCACAAGCAGGCAACAGTCAAATGCATGAGCACCAAAGAAAACAAAGATGAGAAGAAACCACGAGAGATGCATACGAGTGATACTGGAAACATATTGGTATCAGCAGTTATTTGCTTAAAGAAAAAAAAAAGGGAACTGAACAGACCGATATCTGACATATTTATCACTGGGTTATCTTTTTTGTGTTTTATTGTAAAGACTTTGGTTTTATATGTGCTATATGAATAAAATTTACTTTTTTATAAATTAGAATTTATTTATAAATCTCACATATCCAGACTGATCTAGCTCGAATTTCGACATTTTACAAAATTGTACTATTCCTACATTGGTGCATCCCTAGAAACTACAAAGCATACGAGTTATCAGAAGACACTTCTACCTGTTCATCTCTCTGCTTCCACTCCTGCCAGTTTTCCTGCGGAGCTGAGGAACGATCTCTGGCTGTGGGCTGCAGCAGATCGTTGGCCAAACTCTGCAGCGTCAGAGTACAGGGTGGTGGGACTGAGGACTTCTGAGGCAGCTTCTTGAAGGCTAGGCTCCTGAGCTGTGAAGGAACACAAAAACAAATAAATAAATACAATGTTTTAAAATAAAAAAGTGAATACATTTATATAATAATGCACTCTGCTAGCTTGTTCGGTTCCTTTGTATGGAATTAATTTTAGTCATTCCCTTCTACAGCTTCTCATGTTTGTCTGTACCGCTTCACTCATGACGTATTTCATTTTACACTTTGTATGTGGTCTCTAAAATAATATTTCCCTGTTTGTTGTGTGTTAGAAAGGCACTCTGGGCAAGTGGGTTTTGTCTAAAACATCCTTTTGTTAAATTTATAGTAGTTATTTTAGCTGTTCATGCTCATGTTTAGTTTGACTCTGGTGCGACACTGTTTGTGGTTGACTAATTTTGGACTTAGTGTGGTAACCATAGCAGGGCAAAATTCACATCACGAGAGAACATCACACCGTTATTCACTTAATGCCCCTCATGTCCATGTTCTTTGTATCTTCTACAGTATGCGTTATATGCACCTCCACCAATTTAAAAAATGGTGAATCACATGGATCATCGTTAATGGCACTCAATACAACAACAAAAAAAAAGTGTAATTTCTCCAGATAGAGGTGGGCACAAAAAAGTATCACTAATGTTTTGTTTTCTTTTTCTGTTTCTGGCATCAGTACACCAAAATATCGACTTACTATCTTGAAATTAGGAATTAACGATCTGGAAAAAATATCTAACTGCAATTTTTCTGCACACTGTCACTGTCTGATTATTCTATAACTGAAGATTGTCAACAAAAACCAAAACATTCACTTTTTCTGGGCTAAGGCTTAAACAATGTGCCAGACTGCTAGTTAGTTGTGACTGCTTTTTCATCAGTCAACATATGGGTTTTTGGTAGCTTCTGATTGGTCATCTACAATCTGATTAGTCTTCTTGCTCAACTACAGGGAATTCACAAGCTCAGTTATCAGGTTAAATTTCTCCACTAGTTAAGACAATGTTGTTGATAATGAAGGCTGTGATAGAAGTTACCGCTCTTGCAATCTGCAAATGCTCTTTTAAATTTCAATATAAAAACAATAAATGATTTATTTTTATTATTTTTTAAATGATTTACAGCACAAACACTGCAAAGGAAAAAAAAGTGACCCAAAAAGAATCGGTGGGGTCTACCCTCATCAGAGGACTGTCCCTGATTATAATCTGAATCCCAAACTTAACCTGCCCTGGAGCAGGTTAGGCATGCAGCATAAGTTGCCATGGTGATGTACTCAGGTAAAAAGCTACTGACCGTGATGAGACAGAAAATCAAGGGTTAAAAGTTAAAGTCAGCAAGAAAGCTTTGTGAGTCAGGCTCCCAGTCTCTCTACATTATTCACCTCATTGGTTTCACTTTGCTGCTGCTCCTTCTTTCGTCTCTTCTTCTCTTTCTTTTTCTCTGTGTTTTGATTCGTTTTGCCGCTGGGAGATTTCCCTGAGCGTGACTTTCCAGCTTCCCGACCACCTTTAGGCTTGCCCGCATCTGAATCGGAGTCTGAATCCGAGTCCACCTGCAGAAGGGCGAAGCGTGACGCTGTGGTGGGGACTGAGATCATTGTGGAGGTCATTGTGTATCTGTGGATAGAACAAAGAGGCAGCATAAATTTAAATGAAATGTCTGAGTTTGTCTGAACACCAATGGATCACCAGCTAATTTTGGAGTTTTCTGAGAGGGTGTTCATAATAGCAATGACTAACACTGCTACAGTGCAGTACACCATGGAAGTTTAAGATTTAATATGAAAGTGCAGAGGACAAACGTTTCTAAATTCATGACATGTTTGGGACAGTCAGTGATACCGTGTAACATTAGACATTTGTAGAGATGGCACGATACCACTTTTTCAATACTGATATCAATATTGAAACCTTGGCTGCTAGCCCATACCGATTCAATATTTTTTCTTTAAAAATTCATCTTTTAAAATGAGCTATTTTTATAAGCTTTTTTGAGCTTTTTTGAAGAGTTACTACTAGTTTTTCACTATGTATTATCAACATTACATATAGAAACTCAGAAGATATGTGTAGGTTCACTAGAGGTTTTGGATAGTAAATCAAATGGCTTTGTTTGACATCACCACCGCCGTATCATCACCACTGTAGAGAAATCTGAGTCTGTAAGTTTCTCAACACTGAACTATTTTACATAAAAACACCAGATTTTTTCCTACATCTCAACAATTGAATTATAGAGAAATTTTCAAAAATTTGGGGAATTCCCCTACAGTTAAGGGCTTCAATAAGGGCTAGCGGCAGCTATAGGCAGAATAATGCTCCTTTTATGACAAGTGGTACAACTTGGACTCTCCTACTTTCCATCTAAGCCTTCAAACAACTTCAGCTGTTTATGGTTGGGGAAAAAAAGATCTTTACAGTAAGCAAGTGCTTGTCAGACTACTGTGTGCATATAAATAACTCCTAAAAAGTATTTACATTAGAATTAAAGAGCTATTCATTTATTTTAAAAGTGGCTGTAGTCAATCGCAGCTCACCATTAATACAGTGCCAAAGAGATATATAAAAACGAGCAGTTTGATCAAAAATCTGCACAGAAGGGCTTAATCTAACATTTATCCAAGTCCCTCTGTAGAGATATCATACACAAATAGCATAGGATACACAAACATAGACTCAAAAGTCTGTTTAAATGTATAAAATACGCTGTTACTTCTTGTTTTATGGGCGCTACCATGTTGAAATGATGTCATGTATTAGCAACTCTGACTTTCCAAGTGGGAATTATGAGTTTAAAGGGATATTCAGATGGATTTTTCCCCACTTAGAGGTCAGAAGCTTCCCAGTTCCCAGTAGCAACCTCCCAGGACCTCTGCATTGGTGGGGCCTCCATATCTTTGCTATGCCATGACAAAATAACCAAAGTGTTTTATTTTCTATTGGATATTTTTTCATATCTAACCACCCTGAACGACTTTGTTTCCATCCAAATGATTAAATGATGCAGAAATAAAGAAAAAAATCTGCTGAATTCCTCTTTAAAATGTTACTCGATAATGGCACTTATCATCAATACATAGGTTACCTGAAGTGCACCGGTGTCTAAATCTCAGACTCCATCTAACTGACAATGTTCTTTAAAAGTCAACATGGGTTGCCATGACTACGGCACAATAAATTCCTCCGATAATGAGCAGAAATATTTCAGAACAACTGCCCGTTTTTAATAATAACACCAGGCATATATCAACTAAACAGTTAGGTTAGTACAAAAATACAAAAAAATATGTACAACAAAAATAAATAAGCAGGCGCCGCACAACGACTAGCCACCTTAAAGCTAAAACAAAAAAGAAATCACTGTAACTTACTCTCACTAGGCCAACGACGCTAAAGTCAGCTTTTTATTCGCCAGCCACTTGCTCGAATTTAGCCGTTCCACCTTAAATACTGCAGCAGAACAGATTCTGGTGCCTGCGGGGCCAGAATGGAACTACTGCATCATTTAAGGTGGAACGGGAAAATTCTAACAAGCAGCTGGCGAATAAAAAGCTGACTTCAGCCTCGCATTAGGTTTCGCTAAACAGCACCAACATCCGTTATCGTTAAGTGAACTTATTAAGCAATGTCAAGCGCTGAAAGGGTAACCAGAGACACGACACAAAGCCACACAGCTTCGTTTGTCATGTAATAAAATCCATTCCTTAACAAGAAGTTTTCCTTTCGGCGTTTTGTGCGTTAGCTGTTGGCTAACGTTAGCACTCTCTGGCATTGTTAACGCTAGCTGGCTAACCGCGTCGCTTTCATCTCCCTCTCCCAGATTCTCCTATCTAGCCAACGTTAGCTTGTCATGTTTCTACATCACACGATCAGAACACGCTTCATATACACGCCATGACTCAACTGAGAAACGTTCAGGACATGTAAGTTCTAGTAAGTCATAAACTCTCACCTGCAGGAGTCTCAACAGCCGCTACCCGTTGCAAGCGCAGACAGACAGGCTGAACCTGCAAACCCTACGTTGGCCGGATTGGACATACAGGTAGAAGTCGAACGCGTTTTTAAAATCCACAGCTGAATGTGAGGGAGATGGTATGGAAGCCCTTTACGGACACTTAAAAACATCAGCGCCTAATTGTTTTTTCGTTATTATGTGAATGTCTAGACAATTATTTTTCAACACTAAGTCATTATTTTAAGATACTATCTCATTATTTTTATATACTATCTTATTATTCTGTAATGCTAAGTCATTATTTTTGAGATACTATTTAATTATTTTGAAATACTATCTCATTATTTGGAGGTACTATCTCATTATTCTGAGATGCTAAATCATTGTTTGAAGATAAGATAATCCTTTAGTCCCACAACCGGGAATTTCACAGTGCTACAGCAGCAAAGGGATAGCAAGGCACTCAAGGAAAGCAGTAACAAGAATTAACAAAGTAATTAACCTTGTATAGACAATATATAATACTCCTAATAATATATAATACTATATAAACTATATAGCAACTATATAAAGCATATATTTAAACTCTATGTTTCACATAATCTCTATTCACAAATATTAACAATGTAAACATGACATCAGTGCCACCGGCCTGTAGCTGCTGAGGTCCTTCAGGTAGCTGCTGCAGAGGACGCCACCCTCACCCCATCGTCACCCATCAATGTGATTCTGAAATGTCACTTTTATATATGTGTGTATGTAATTTATTTGGTAATTTTATTTCTATGACAGACATACAGAATTGTTAGAGACCACACTTCATTCATTTAATTTCCAATCAAAACTGCCTTAAATTACAAGTTATTAATTTTTCAAGAGAAATTTCTAAAA